GAGACCAGGACAGAGACATGAGACCAGGACAGAGACATGAGACCAGGACAGAGACATAAGACCAGGACAGAGACATGAGACCAGGACAAAGACAGGAGACCAGGACAGAGACATGAGACCAGGACAGAGACATGAGACCAGGACAGAGACATGGAACCAGGACAGAGACATGAGACCAGGACAGAGACATGGAACCAGGACAGAGACATGAGACCAGGTCAGAGACACGAGACCTGGTCAGAGACATGAGACCAGGACAGAGACATGAAACCAGGACAGAGACATGAGACCAGGACAGAGACATGAGACCAGGAGTCCAGGTGTTTGAGGGGACAGCTGGACACAAATGAGACTTTTGGGCTGTAGGACATGTGAGTCCTCTGTTCAGGTCCTCTGGATGTCTTCTGACTGGAAAGTGTCCAACATGGTCCTGTCCCCACACCATCAGAACCTCAGCAGCAGGTTGTGGTTCTGGTTGTGGCTCACCAGGACCAGAACCACAGGGTTTTTACGTCTCAGGGATTCCCCCAGACGGTTTCTACGAGAGCTGAGAGGACTGCTGCTTCAGCAGACTGAGGACAGAACCGAGCCAGAACCAGAACCACAGCTTCAGTCTGACTGTGCAGAGGAAGAAAAGCTCCGTCTTCATCAGCCGAAAGCTTCCTTCAGCTGCTGCAGCCGAAACCTCCTGATCACCAAGACCAGCAGAGTCTCTGCTGGACCCGCCGGTCCTCACAGAAATATCTGGTTCTGGTCTGGTTCTGGGTTCAGTTACATAAAGACGGCTGTTTGAAGAGCTTCCAGCTCTGGTGTGTCTGAGGTTCTGACATGACCCGGCTCATTGTTCTGGTGGTTCTGACCCGCAGTCAGACCCAAATATGAAGCTGATGAAACAAACTGTCAGCAGCAGCTTAAAGACAGAGGGACTGTTGTTCTGAACCAGGACCAGGACCAGGACCAGGAGGAGGACTCAGAGGTCAAAGGTCACGAGCTGAACCACTGCTGACCTTAGCTGAGCTGAAACTGACTTTAAAGCTAAAAGAAGCACAACACAAGCTAAAAGCTAAAACAGGTAAAGGTAAGCTTCAAGCTAACAGTAGCAGCAAGCTAGCTTCAAGCTAACAGTACATAAGAGCAGAAACAGCCGAAGCAGATTTGAATGGTTATTAGCCTGAAGCTGAGGGGCGGAGTCAAACACCAGCTGGTGTCCAGGAAGCTGAAGCATCAGATGTTTCAAAATAAAAGTCCTTTTGACAGATGGGGGGGTGGGATGGCAGCCTGAACCCCCATCAGGAGGATCTGGATCCTGGTAGAACCTGAGCTCGTTCTCTCTTCAGATCCTCGGTCTGTGAAGCTAAAAGTTGTTGAATTCTTCCAGTGTTTCAAAGTAAAACAGTTCTTCAGACGGAGGGAGGGGTTGGACTTCATGAACCGGTTCCATCAGAATAAATCAGGTTCCTGGAGAACAGGCCGGTTATGAGCTGTTTGTAAAGTTACACAGTCAGAAATTACCTCCAATATTTGTGTTTTATTTAACCTTTTATAAGAAAAAAAGAACAATTTTATTTTTAAAGTCAGTTTTTCACCATATGATTCATACATTTATAAATGTRATAGTTTATAAACTAAATATTTAACTTACAAATTAAATATTTAGTTAACAAGCTAAATATTTAACTTGTGACTTAAATATTTAGTTTTGAGATAAATACCTTAAATATTTAGCTAGCTACCTAAATATTTAAGTTTCAAATTAAATATTTAGCTCAAGACTAAATATTTAATTAGTAAGTTAAATATTTAGTTTATAAACTATGACATTTATAAATGTATGAATCATATGGTGAAAAACTGACTTTAAAAATAAATCTGTTCTTTTTTTTTCTTATAAAAGGTTAAATAAAACACAAATATTGGAGGTAATTTCTGACTGTGTAACTTTACAAACGGCCCACAGCCGGTCAGTTCTGGACCRGGTTCTTTGTGAAGAGGATGAAACCAGATGGTGCTGAAGGATAGACACTGGACCAGAGGTTCTGGAACAGCTTCAGGTTCAGACAGAACCTGCTTCAGAACCAGCTGACTGAAAGTTGCCCTCAGTCCTCGGACCGGTGCCGGGTCCAAACTGACCGTGTCTGGCTGAAGTAGAACCCGAGCTCTTTCTTTGAACGGTTCTGAGGAGGACTCCTGGGTCTGCACCTCTTCTCTGAGCCARGCAGGCCTGAGATGGGTTTTCCAGCGCCGCTTTGATCCAGTCCATCTGCACGTGTCCCGGTCCACCCACGCTCCGAGGAGAGTGTCAGGTGACAGAACCCAGATGATCCGCCRGGGGATCCAGGACCTGGCCCAAATGTTTTCATCAGCTGCTCAGTGTGGTTCCTGAGGTCTTCCAGAAGAGCCGATGGTTCTGATGGTTCTGATGGGGAGGCCCGGTTTACTGCCCGACAGAAACACAGCCTCTGGTCCATTAAATAAATGGTTCTTTGTTTTTTTTAATACAAACAGGAGGAACTAAACAACAGCTAAAATTCAGCTTTTATTTTGGTTCTACACCAGCCAAACAACTGAAGTTCTGATCCAGTAGGGTTAGACTGGATCTGGTCCCAGAGGAACGACCACTGATATCACTGGTTCTGAACCCAGTTTGTGTTCTGGTTCTGCTGGTTCATCAGTTTGGACCTGATGACAGCTGATGTCTCTGACTTCCTGCTGAACTTCTCCTGTTCTCTTTGACAAACGCTGAATTTGACAGTTTGACGTGAGAATAAATGTCATTTAGTGAACTTTAAAAGTCAGTCCAGRTGTTTGTCGGTTCTGATTAAGACCAGAACCAGGCAGGAGGTCCAGAGATGATAATTACACCAGCTGGACGTCTCAACAGGAAGCTGTTAGGATTCATGCTCACCTTCAGACAGGAAGTGATGCTCAAACCTGATGTTTAAACAAACTAACAAATCAAACAGCTGATTGGTGGAGGTATTATTGGTTGATAGGTGGAGGTATTATTGGCTGATTGGTGGAGGTATTATTGGTTGATAGGTGGAGGTATTATTGGCTGATTGGTGGAGGTATTATTGGT